CCGTCCCGGTTGCAGGGTCTGCTGGCTGGGTGCTGGCAGGCTTGCACCTGGCACGGGCACCGTAGCCAGCCCGTGCCCCTTTAAGGGCTCTGGGGCCAGGAGGGGGGCAGACAAGTTTCCCTGGTGGTGCCCAGAGTGGCCACCAGGAAAAGCTGGGGAGGGCTAGCCTCCCACTAGTTCGAATTAAGTGGCTACACAGCCCTTAATTCGAACTGCTTAATTCGAACTGCTTAATTCGAACTGCTTAATTCGAACTAGGCGTTAGTCCTCATAGAATGAGGTTTACCTAGTTCGAATTAAGCGTTCCGCTAGTTCGAATTAAGTTCGAACTAGCGGTTTGTATGTGTAGCGCCTATCAAAGTTAATTCGAACTAACGTCTGTTAGTTCGAATTAACTTTGTAGTGTAGACATACCCTGGGGGAGGAGCCCTGAGCGCTGAGAGCCAGGTCCAGGCAAGCTGAGGACTGCATCTGGTCCCTGGGCCTAAAGTTCCCCACCCCTTTAGGGCTTTGTCTACACTGCGAGTTTTTGTGGCAGAAAATATGCTAATGAGGGACTCGTTAGCATATTTTCTGCTATTTCTTTTTGCGCAAGGGGTTTGTGCACAAAAAGAAGCAGTGTAGCCACTTTGCGCAAGATCCTGATGCCTCTCCCGGCATCTTAAATGTCAATGCATCTTAAATCACCGTCCACACAGTGGGAGGTCGACAGGAGCAAACACTCCTGTTAGCTTCCATTACTCCTCATGAGGAGCAGGAATACTGATGCCGATGGGGCACCCTCTTAGTTCAAATTAGTGGGTCTTCACTAGACCCACTAAATCGAATCCCAGAAGATCGACTGTGACAGCATCGATCTTCCATGTAGTGCAGACATGGCCTTCTCTCTTCTCCTCTTCCCCCCCAACGCCAGCCTGGGCTCCTTCTCTCTCCTTCCCCTTCCCCCGCCAGCCCGGGCCCCTTCTCTCTCCTTCCCCTTCCCCCACCAGCCCGGGCCCTCTCTTCCCCCACCAGTCTGGGCCCCTTTCTCTCCCTCTCCCTCTCCCACCAGCCTGGGCCCCTTTTCTCTCCACCCCCTGCCAGCATGGCTCCCTTCCCCCCGCCAGCCCAGGGCCCTTTCTCTCTCTCCCCAACCCTAACCCCCCACCCCTTCTCCTCACTGCAACACATGCCAGGCCCAGCTCTAACCCCAGTGTCTGGGGAAGCACAGGGGTGCCTGCCTGCTCTGCGTGGGGCACAGTGAGGCACAGGTAGTGCTGTGTGCCCATGGCGTCCTGGGGCACTGTAGCCTGCTGAGGTGGGGAAAGCAGCAGTGTGGAGGGCTGCTGTGCTGACCTCTCCTCTTTGCGGTCCTGCCTGTGCTACTCACCACCCCACCCCGGCCACTGAGAACAGAAGGCAAGGAGCAGACAGTTCGGTGCAGCACTCTCCTAGGCAGCTCAGGAGGGAAGGGGGGGGCCTTTGACAGCCACGGTAAGTGCAGTCTCTAGAGAGGGGGCAAAAAGGTACTATGTAATTGAAGACTGTATCACAATGTATATGTACAAATGGGGAGGTCATGAAAAAATGTTGCCCAGGAAACCTTTATTCTGGCAGTTCCAAAATTCTGAGTGTGTGACTCTGCAACCTCAGTAATGTTGCTTTAATGTAGCGTTTTTTGTGTGCTGTGTATTTGTGTGAACTCAGGCTGGAACCTGGACTCTGGGATCATCCTCACTCATGGGGTTTCAGATCTCACGCTTCAGCCCAAGAGTAAATAGCTCTGCAGCCTGAGCCCTGTGAGCCTGAGCCCACTGACATGGGCCAGCTGGGAATGTTTAATTGCAGTGCAGACATACCCTTAGAGCATGAATCCAGAGGTGCTGTGTCTACACTTCAAAGCAATAGCGCTTGAAGTCTGGGTCCCAGTTTGATTCAGAGGCACCACCCCTGTAGGATCTTAGGGCCATAGGTCCAATCCCTGCAGTAGTGCGATTGGTGTGTAGATGGCAGTGGGGTTAGGCTTGAGCCACAGTTCATACGCTGGACTTGCATTGCAATGTAGTCGTACCCACTGAAAGTCCCTTGTCCTAGGTTCAGCCCCATCCCCTTATTTGGCCTGACTGGGAGCACCTGTTCTGGCACAGCGGTGCTGGACCTAATTTAATCATTGGTTCCAGCACCATCCAATACAAGCACCATCCAATAGTTGTTTATGGTGCTATATGGTAAGAACCAATAACATACTTTCCACCCTAGGCATCTGAGTTCTGTGGGCACAGGTTAGTATATACATGACAAGAGAGTATAATGACATTTAAGCATCAAAACAAATAAAACAATTTTATTCAATTATCTGTTTTATCTGTCATGCTATGTCATCCTTATTTGTTACATTAGAAATTAAAATGTAACATACTCTCCCCCCCCCCCAAAAAAAACCTTGTTTTTGTCTTGTTTCTCAGCGCTGGCAGCAGAGAAAGATGGCACACCTGTTTTTAAGTTCCCCAGATGGAGAGTTAAGGGCAAGCCTATCCAGGAAGTAGTTGACGCCTACAGATCTGTTGGAGCCGATCTAAATGTACTTCCATTCTGTACACAGTTCATCCCCATGGATGTTATTGACTGTCCAAAGCATGGATCAATTATCTACCATCCATCCATTCTTCCTCGCCATAGAGGAGCATCAGCTATCAATTGGTGAGATTATTTTATTACAAGTAAACACAGAGCTTTTTAGATTTCCATCAGAGACATGGGCCAAATCCTCTACTGGTGTAAACTGGCATCATTCCAAGCACCCTTGCTTCTTACCAGCTGAGAATCTGGCCCATGGTCTCTACATTGCTCCTAGGTTCCAATGTAATTTTTGTTGATTGACTTTTTTTAACCAGTTTTATGAGTATTCTATTGAGATTGCTGCTATGAATCGTGTTTCTAGTATTGTTTTAATCACATAACTCTAGTCACTATATATAAAGAAAGAGGTGTGCATTTAGGCTACGTCTAGACTGCATCCCTCTGCCAACAGAGGGATGCAAATCAAGCACTTAGGAAGTGCAAATGAGCCTGGGATTTAAATATCCCGGGCTTCATTTGCATACTCCTGTTCTGATGCTGTGCCGATCAGGCTAAGTGTCAAAAGGGAAAGTAAAGTGTAGCTGCAGCTCTGCTGACATTTTTTTCAGGAAGAACGGCTCTTGCGCAAGAAGAGGGTTTTGTGCAAAAAGGAGCCGTCTACACAGCTCCTTTTTGCGCAAAAGCCTCTTGCACAAAAATTATGCAAATGAAGTGTGGTGATATTCCACGCCACACTTCATTTGCATAAACTTTTGTTGGAAGAAGGCTGCAGTATAGACGTATCCTAAGGTTTCAGACATTTGTAACTTTTATTGTATCTGTAAAGAAGCCCTACTTGTCCTCCCTTATGTCAAGTCTTCTTTTTGTTCAAACATATAGGGGTACCCTTTTACTGCTGTATGAGGAAATTTAGTGATATACCTGTCACTACTAGTAGTAGTTATTTTGTAAAACCACCAGAATTAGAATTTACTAGACTTATTCCCTTTTGTTGGAATTTCTATTTCAGATTGCAAGAGCCAGTAATATGACTAGCTGACACATTTTCACTAGTATGTCCAGACAGTAAGAATTTCACTTCTGCAATGAAGTCACATTCTTTGCCAACATTACTTTTCCAGATCCACCAACTTGCAGTCATTACAGCTTTTGCTGCTGTTCTGTGAAGTCTCAAAAACTAGGGGGAAAGGCTGCCAAAGAACAAATAGATCATGTAGGAGTTGATGCTGGTGATTTACATATAGTCAAATGTGAAGCAGTGTTCACTAACTGTGTGTGTCTCCATTTGAACTGTACAACTAGAAACAATTGTGCCTGATTTCCAGCAGTGCTGAAGGCCTGCAACTCCAAAGGGTAACTGTGACCTGTGTGGTTAAAATCCTTTTCAAATTCAGAGAATGTAAATTACCGTTGCTTTATTGAGGGCTATAAGTAGATACGATGTTCCAATTTGCTTGTCTGAAACTTTTGGTAGTATTAGGGTGCTCTATTAAACAGTTATTATGTTCCATCCTGGAAATACACTGTAGTGGTGGGCCACCTCTGTTTCTCTTGCCTACCTCTTGTGTATATAGTGAAGCTTATTTAGTTTATTTTAATAACTGACATGGAGATGGGCAGAAAAAAGACTAGTAGAAGCACAGGCGTTAGCACTGTTTTGTTTTGTTTTGTTAATATTGAAGGTTCCAACTTCCAAAGGGTGTCAACCCACTGCTGCTCTTTTGTGCCATTTGTTGTACTATTCATAATTAATTTAAAATAATTTAGGATGATAAACTATGAATCAAGAATGACTAGACTGCAAAGTACAGCACATAAGACATTGGCCACAGCCTTGCTTATGCTATTATGTTTACACATCAGCAATGTCAAGCCTATAGATTTTAAATAATAGAAATGAAGTCACTGTACTTAGAAAGCTGATTAGAATTCATATGGACACATGTGCACATATCTCCATATTGTGCCTGCATCAGGCATATGAACTATCAAATGGGCTGATACTTGTGACTAAGGTAATTCCCTCTATATTTGCTCTAAAATGTTCTATTGGCAGGACTTTAATTCAAGGAGATAAAAAAGCAGGATTTACTATTTTCTGGGCTGATGAAGGTCTGGACACTGGACCAATTCTTCTGCAACGGGAATGTGATATAGGACAGAACGATACTGTGGATGACTTGTATAATCGTTTTCTTTTCCCAGAAGGCATAAAAGCTATGGTAAGTCTGCCTGTGCTGAACACAGACATTTTAAAAGGAAAAATCTGGCACATCTAATCCTCTTGGAATTTGAACATAAATTAAATAAATAAGATACTAAAGAAATTTGAATATACTGGGCTAGATCTTCATCTGGAGTGATTACATTGACTTCAGTGGAGCTATGCTTATTCATATCACTGAATGGAGGCTCACAATGTTTTGATTAGAGCAGGCCTGGGCAAAATATGGTCTATGGGCCAGATCCGGCCTGCCAAGCCACCAGATCCGGCCTGCAAATGCAGAGGGGAAATTCCAGGCAGGCTTCTCTGCTTGCCCCACAGCCCTGCACACTGCTCAGAAAAGCGGCTGTGGTTGCCATTTCTCTTTAAAAGCTGTGAGCCCAGAGGGGAGGGGCAAAGGCTTCAGGCATAACTCATGCCCCTAGCACAATCCCATTGGCTGGCTTCTGGCCAGGAACTAGCCCTGCACACTGCTCAGAAAAGCGGCTGTGGTTGCCATTTCTCTTTAAAAGCTGTGAGCCACAGGAACTAGCCAGTGGGAGCTGTTTGTTTGAATAACTGGGAGCACAGGAAGCACCACACACTCTACCCCTCCAGCTCAGTTATTCACACATGCATATGTCCCTACAGCCTGTGCAGACAGGGCAGGCAGGCTGAGAAACTTTTTAACCTCTGCAAGCATTTAGCTCTGCAGGAAGGCTGGTTGGGCTGCTGGCTGGTAAGTCTCCTGGCCAGAGCCTACCTCTGGCACCCTAGCCCTTCCCTTCCCCATACCTCTGCTCCCCACTCAACATACCTAAACCCTTTGCCCCCCTCCTACACCCATATTCCCTCCCAGATCTAGCACCCTAATCCCCTGCCCCAGATCACAATCCCCTAGGTTACAATCCAAACTCCTGCACCCCAGTCCCCTCCCCTAGGTCACAACCACCCCTTCACCCAAACTTCACCCAGACTCCACTTTCCCTCCTGCAACCCAATCCCTTACCCCAAGATCCCTTCTGCACCCAACCTCCATCCCAGATGCCGCATCTCCTCCACTATATCAAGAAAGCCTCCTCCACTATATCAAGAACACCTCAACCACTTTCCTAAATCTTGGAGTCTCCCCCCCCCAAAAAAAATTATTGCTCACCCCAGGATTAGAAAATAAATTTTGCTCTCTCTGAAGTCAGTGAGCCAAATTAGGCTGGTGGGGTGGGTTCTGGCATTTGCCTGGGATGGGCAGTTTGGTGGGTTCAAACTCCTTTTACTTCAGTGGAGTTACTTTAGTGAATTTGCCCTTTTATTTTAAATTGGACTAATCAGTAGCAAATAGTTTATAGCATCATAGAAATTTTGCAGGGATTTACATGGGAATTTGCCAAGTAATTGCTGTTTTTGCAAACTATTAAAAACAGGCTAAATGCAGTATATCAGATCATATTCTGCCTTCTGTTAGGTCCCATCTTGCAAGGATTATGAAGTGTTTATTCATGGTGAGTGAATAATCCCATTGATGTGAATGGGCCTGCAGTGAATAAAGTTAGCAAATGCATAAATCTTTGCAGGATCAATCTTTTACACTTCAGCAAACCTGGATTACAACATAAATAAATAGCCAAATCCTACACTGTCCACAGAAATGATTTTTACTGAAGGCAGATTATATGTAAACACAGATAAAATTTGGCCTATTGGAGTAATTAGAACTGCTTTGTTTCCTGTGTAGGTAGAAGCTGTCCAGCTAATTGCTAACGGTAGAGCTCCTCAGATACCCCAGCCTGAAGAAGGAGCAACATATGAAGGGATCCAGAAGAAAGAAAATGCCCAGGTACTATAGTGTTGTTAACACTGTGTTGATAATAACAATGAAGTTACACTTTCTGTTCAATGCACCAAAATATCTCTGGAGTATTAGTACTGTTCCAGTGAAAGTCAGTGAGAATTGTCCTGTTGACTTCAGATTGCGCAGGACCAAATCCTAATTAGTAAGAACAAATTTGGCACAGCTAGAAAGTGCAGAAATATTTTGTCATTCTGACTTGTCCTCTATAAGCTCTAGTTGCAGAAATTATCACTCCAAAAATAAATTAAGGGGCTAATTGCACTAACTTTATCTGTGTATAGTTAGTTCTAAACACAGTGTCTTTGAAGCCTGTTTAGATAGTAAAGCCTATTCGAAGCCTTTATAAAAATGGTTGAGAAACATGGAGCTAAGAGATTACATACAAGTATTATTAACTTCTTCTCTTTGCTTGAAGCTGCTTTTACAAATGTCTAGCCTCCTCTTTGGGGGGCAGAGGGGCAGAGCGGGGGAAAGATAAAATTGTTCCTTGTTCCTTAAAAGCAGCTGAAAACAAGAAGAAAAAAGATTAGCTTCCTCACTAGGAACTGCATAGGAGAAGGATGAGAAGTGGTAACAGAAGCAGGTCTTTAAGGCCAGGTGTTGGCAACAAGACCTGCGGCCAGAGAAAGGGCAAGAGAGCCAATGGGAAGGGCATTCCCAGAAGAGGGAGAGGGAGGAAGGGAATTGAGAAGAAGGGAAAGGAAAAGGGGATACGCTGTATTGGGATAAGAGAAGCATTTTCAAAGAAATAGAGGGAGAAACAATAGCTGATGAGAGGAGAAGATGAAATAAAAAGCAATAGTAGACAGTGATTCTCTTTCCTGAAAACTGTGCAAACCCAAGAGCTGTTTGATTGGTTTGTGTTCTTTCCTATCCCAGGATTTGGTTCTGCAAGAGCCAAGAGACTGTTTATAGTCTCTCATGGCCATCACTCATGGAACTTAATCTTCTGTCAATGAGTTTTTGATAGAATACTCTGCACATTAAGGGCCTGCTTCTGTCCCATTTAAGTCATTTGGAGTTTTGCCATTGACTTCTGAGGGAAAACATTCAGACTCAAATTACATAATTTACTATGGGTCTTGTATTTTACAAATAAATATTACAACCATTTTAATGACTAGTGTTCAGCTGGTATTTTAAAATGTGATATTCTATAATGACCCAGTTCATACCCTCCCAAGACTGATGGAAAACGATCCTGTTAACTTTATTAAGCTTTGGAATTGGCTTCTAGGATACTTGAAAACACCTACAGGACTTAAGAGCAAAAGTCTCATTGAAAGTAAATGAGACCTGTATTCCTAAATCACTGGGAGGCATCTAAAAATCTCACCCTCAATTTTTTTCATTAATGAAAAGGAAGAGACTTGTTCCGTGATTCCTCCTCTATATTCACATGGTAGAACGATATTTTTGATATATTTAAGTTATTAATAGCTTAAGATATTTAATCTCTTTGCTCCCAAATATTTGGATTAATTCCACAGAAATGTAATAGAGCCCGAGGCAAAGTTCATTTGCCCTGGCTGCAGCCTTTTATATTTAGCAACATCGTGTCCTATCTAGGATCATCTCTCTGGCATCAATGCCTGTAGAACAACTGCTGTTTCTTAGTATTCTTAATATATCAGACTGCCTGTAAAATGCATTTGGATCAGACCCCTCTTTTTGCCAACCATTTCAAGCAAACTCTTTACCAGAAATAGATTTCATGCTTGGAAAAATTAATTCTCCGCCAACAGATAGAGTTTTAAATAAGTAATTGAAATATATATATGATTTGTTTTATCTACCTATTTAGCAGGGACCTTACCCAAGGCCACCATGAATTATACAGAGTACTATCAGTGATTCCTCTGTTACTTTTGCTATGACAGTGCAAAGTAATGGTAACAGAAGAGATAAAAAGCCAGCATAGCAAAGCTTTCAATGTGTAGCCTCTGTAGAAAGTCTTTGTATAAAAAGCTTCCTACTGGCTTTTTATGCCTAAGGAGTTATTGACTGAAGAGACAAATTGACCTACAGATGGCTTTCCCAAAATGATCCCAGATCTAGAAGAATAAATGGCTTGGGCCACATTCTAGTCCTGACACACTATCAGCCATCCTGGGCACACCAGCAGAACAAGTTAAAGAAGGATGGCTGAGTCCCATCTTGTTTTGACAACCCGCTGGGGACGATGCATATTAAACCCTGCAGCAGTTGCATTGGAAGGGTACTGCTGAGGAGGCCTCCCAGAAAGCCGAGCATTGCTGTTTAACTTAAACATAAATGATGCATGTAAAATTAAAATGAACTACTAAGATCTTTAGAGCCTTTTAATTTTATTTATCTATTACTGTAGGTTGTGACACTTGTTAAATTTGTGTTTTTGGTGCCAACCCTGTTTTCCTCACTCAGACTGAGTTCAATGGGTTCAATGACTCAGTAAGGAGAGCTGGATGAGGCAATTTATTTCTCTGTCGTTATCAACTTATAATACAGCTGTAAAATGTGTTCTGAGCTTTAACTAGAGAAACCACCGTATTTCCAGGGCTGTTCTTTAATAAATTTTTTTTAAAATTCATGTCATATCCCATTACAGCAGGACACATCATGCATGGTTTTGTAGGATTACAAGAGTCACAAATGGACTATGCAAAATAATGTTTAATGCAGCCTGACACATGCATGTTTCTTGCATTAAACTGACTCATTCCTTGAATACCTGGCATGAAACCCATGCTGTATTAGTGTTTTACTTAATAAATAGTTGATAACAGATTAATACATTATATGTGATTTCATAAATGGTTAATCAAATGTTATAGAGTCCCATAAGTTGCTTATAACTATAAGTAACTCCTTTCACTGATGATTGTATCCATCTCTAATACATACTGCTTGTGTCTTTAACATGGGTATACTATCTGTCATTTATTAACTCATTCTATTAAGGTTTTATGTATAAATAGTTTATAAAGATCCTTGCATGCTCCATGTGTGATCCTTGTACCTATTACATGAATGAATGTGAAAAGGAAAGCTTGCAAAGAAGCTGTTTTGAGTAAGATTCACAGTGTCCCAGTGTACAACTCCTTACTAGGCATCTGGAGAATGTCAATCTTCCTTTTCTTTAGTAACCAAGACTCCTTTCTGCATTATTAAATAAACAACTGAAAGAGAAAGAAGCGACTTGTAGCTGTAGTTATTGGAAAGAAATGTTATCTTTATAACAAAACAGAAAAGAATCATATCATGCTTTTTGACTGCCTAGATTTCTTGGGATCAACCTGCAGAAGCTTTACATAACTGGATCCGAGGTCATGATAAAGTACCTGGAGCTTGGACAATGATTGATGGACAGGTATGGTCTATGAAATTAAAGTGTTCCCTTACTTTTCACACACTCTTTATTACTTGCGTTAGTCATAAAAGTTACAGATGAAATGTAGCCTCCTTTTGGTGCTCACACAACTCCCATTGATAACAATCAGACTATCAATCAAGTCACTTAATAAAACCTACCAGTCGCCAGAAAAATTACAGCTAAGTCCAAGGCATGATTCCCTTTGATAGGATCAGTTAGTTAAAAGAAAAATAAAAGGATCTGTGTCTGAAAAAGGATTGAGCTCTATTCCAAATCAATTTGCAAAGAGGGAAGAACCAGATAGTGCTACACAGGGTGTGTCTAGACTACATGGTTTTGTTGTCAAAGGTGGACTTTTGTCGACAAAACTATACCTGCGTCTACACTACCGCCGCGTTCTTTCGCAA